ATTGGTATAAGTGAAGAATTCTGCCACGCTCCCCCCCACCAAGCCCTCAGGTTTGAACTTTGTAGATGCCATGGTTTACAATAATTGTGATCGGACACCACGACCACGATAGAATTCACATTCGGTCGAAGGAGTAAATAACACCACAATACAATTTTGGTATTTCTAACCATCGATCTTGTGTATTCTGGTGGGAATTTGCATTGTCCATTGCAGTGATTCTCAATGTAGCTATCAAAACTCTGCGGAAAAGGTATGTGTGTACTCTATCTAGTTTATGAGAATAGGATAACAGTTCCGGAATTTATAGAAGTTTTCCAGATAATTTCATTTAACTTGCATGCACTTCTAGGACTCTCGGTGCTGATAACTTTCAATTCGATGCTATCTCATCTTATTTTTAATAGATTACACCGAAACTCAAGGTTGAACGAACCCCACACCGATCAATTCCAAATTAATACATGCACATGAATATATCCAAAAGAAATGTTCAAAATTTTAGATATCAGATTCACATTGATTCTCGTTCATACGCTCGGGTTTGGGGTCGGCCAGAGTGGGTTAGAAAAGGAGTACAACGCAGTGCTAATCCATTGACGAGTTGCGGTATTTTCATTCCTTCTCGTTTGGTCTCCCCGCAGCAACCTCAGCAACATGGTTAGTGAACATTCTGTGGAGACGACCTTTTCCTAATTTGATCTACCAAAGCCAAATAGTAGCTTCGAACCAAATTGGCAAACAAAATTTAATCGTTGTCTCTATCGGAATCAATGCTCACAGGCATCATTCTGAATCGTGCCCCTTGGAACCATGTCCGAAACAAAGGAACCATGATGTTATTCTGAGCCAGGACCCATCTTTATCAGCCCATCGAAAGATTGCTACCTGAGAGGAGATATTGAGGATCACAATTCTACTTGCGATTGATGAAACAAACGGAACCCGAGATCCCAGAAGAGACGGCAAAAGCGACTTTGTAAAAAAAGAACTTACTTGTTGAGCCAACTTTACAGAATACGCGACAGATTCATCTCGATCTCGGACGAAACCTCCTTCCATTTGATCTGCACCCGATAGGAGCATGGCACGGTGAAACAATGGAGGCTGTCGAAGACCGGAATGCTTCGACAACATATGCAGTGCGACGTCAGCCGCTCCTGATCCGTGCCCTAACACAGTCACCTATATCAGGATGTGGTAGTTAATAAACTGTCAAATCGGAAAGAAAAATGTTTAAAAAATCTCCACAAACAATGGATCGAGTAAAATTAAGTTGTATATAGTTGACCGAACCACATTTTTAAAATGCTCATAACCGGTTTGTGAGTCCCGGTCGCATAATTGATGATCCGGAAGAACACCAGTTGTGTAATTTTAGAAATTATTTCAACTATCTCAATCCTAACTGTTTAAAAGTTCTATAGAATTGGTCTAAGGGTTCAGTTTGTTACCATTAGGAGCATTCAATACATAAAATATGATTAGGGTATCATCTCCCGGCGCAATACTATACCTTTTCTATCGGGACAACATGTGGTTTGTTCGAAGATTAAAGTTGCCATCGTGCATTTACACACAATACAGTATATTGTTTCACCACACTCGTACACTCGCACGAACCCTCAGGTTGCTATCACTACCATTGGCGCTTCCTAATCGCAGTAGTGATTCTGTGCATCACTAACTTCACTTTGCTTCCTGATTTATTCTCTTTCGTTCCAAGACTCTATTATCTTCTTCAAATGATTTTACACATCTGCACACACATCTGGCATTTAGTCAACCTTTCTATTCAAAGCTGGCGTATTTGCTTTTCATCAGCACTCAGCACCAAACGCATCTATTTGCCGATGATTCCAACCTAAATCATTCTTTTTGGGACAACTTTTCCCATGCTTTCTATATCATCATCACTCACGATCGCCGGTCTGCGTATGCTTCATAGAGTTCAACCATCGTTGCCATCGCTGCCTGGGGTACTTTGGAGTCATTTTCGATTTCACAAAACCCCTCTGATGAATATATTCCTTGAACATAATTCCTGAAATCCTTATCTTCAATTCGACTCTTGCACATCTGCCTTTCTACTTGGTTTCCAATTATTGTCGAACTTGTATCGAGTGCATCCAGAAAGTCACTCAATTTTATGCGCCTCGCAAAATCACATACTTTACAAGGCCCAAATAAATCCCATTATGGATTATTGTGGCCATGTCTAGAGTTGGGCTTCCTCTTCTTATTTGGCGCCTTTGGACGGTGTTCAGCTTAAAGTCGCTTGCCTTGCCACCTATTGGTCCTCCGCAACGTTTTGTCCTCAAGCGGCGAATCAACAACTCGTCCTGACACCAACTTACAACATCCCTACTTTACAGTATTATCTAACGATTATGGGGTTCATCCCCTTACTGTTCATCATACTGGCCAAGAAATAAAAACGATTGCTCTCATCTCGAAGTCACGCCCTGAGTATGTCATGGATGGATTATCCGATTTTTCACCGTTAGATATTTCCAATTTCTACTTAAATTTAAGTAATACCCATTACACATCAATTGACCGGCCTTCAGACCCAATCTTCACGCACAACCCCCAAACACTCGGTCAAACTTGGGAAACTTAAAACGTTACCAACTCATGAGTAACGCAACTGAATATCCTCAAGGTAATACGTGTGTCTAGCGAATTGCGAGGTTAAGAAATTGCAATGGTCAGGTAATTTCACTTTATTAGTGAATTTATCCTGAAAAATTGTCACGAAGAATTACATGGAGAGCAGTTTGAGTTCCACCGTTGTTCAGCTCGGTAGTAAGCCTATCCAAGCGAACCAGTTCTCTAAATCGAATAGCGACGTCTAATCGCAGTCAGAATAATCCATGCCACTGGTCATAAAAATAATTTAATGTAAAACAACTTTAAGTGACAAAGTAAACGTTTCTCAGAAATATATGTATTGTCGAAGCCTAACATAGTATCAAGCTTGGATTAGCTCATTCGATTGTTCAGAGGCACCAGGCACTCTTGATGGTCTTCGATGTAGGTTTCACTCCTTGGGAAATCGTTAATTTCCCACTTTTGGTATGCATGTAAATACGATGGAAAATTTTACGATAAGCAACAAAGAGCACTGGACAGCTGTTTCGTCTTGTTTGGGACTCGTCAGCCTGGTGCCTCTGAACAATCTAATGGGCTAATCCAGGCTTGATACTCCAAATTGATTGAGCCATTCCCACAAGGTGACAACCGTTGACCGTGTAAGTCAGGGGTAAGGGTTTGAAGTCCCGACTGATCGTGGTTCGAGTCCTGATAGGGACACAAAAAGTACGTACTGCTGACGAGTCCCAAACAAGACGAAACAGCTGTCCAGTGCTCTTTGTTGGTTATCACACAATTTTCCATCGTATTTACATGCATACAAACAGCGGGGAATTAACGATCTCCCAAGGAGTGAAACCCACATCGAAGACCATCAAGAGTGCCTGGTGCCTCTGAACAATCGAATGAGCTATTCCAAGCTTGATACTCTAACATGGTATGTTAATTAAGTGGGTCAGACTGCCTTTTTGAGGGGGAACGACGTATATCGTTCTGTCTTAGTCTTTAATCCAATTTATATGGCTTGTCATAAAAGGTAACATTTGGGCACCTAATTCCTTTCTATCTGCATGCCAAAAATTGACGCGAATAAAAATGCAATTTCCTTATTTATCTGTCAATGATTTTCAGAATCAGATTATTCATTGTGATTGGTATAGAATTTACCTGATTGCGATCACCAAGCCACAGATGAATGTTATTTTGAATAAATTCCAACGCCATAAGCTGATCCCATAGTCCGTAATTTCCGCGGGCCACATCTGGCGAGTCATCTTTGTTCCAATCTCCGTCAGAGTGCACCTCAGTTGCCAAATAACCGAAGGGGCCTAATCGATAATTTACGAACACAACTACTAGACCCAATTGGACTAATGCGTGTCCCGGATAGCGATTTCCAGTCCCAGTCAGATGATCCATACCGTCGAAAATAACTAGAACAGGCAATTTCTTTCTTGCATTCGAATGACGAGCACCATCAGACGGTGTGGTTTCGTTCAGTGTGTAAATGTTCATGTACAAGCAGTCTTCACTCTCTGCATCCCAGCCACCCTCAGTTTGACGCAGAGGCACACGCTTAGCCCACTCATGTGGAGATTTTGTCCAGTCGAAGGAGTCTGGTGTGAGACCGGCATCCGGTTGAGCGCATGGTGTTCGAAAATAAGTGGCATCATATTTGGTGCTAGTTTGTGTTAACGGGACAGGACGACGAAATCGTAGGTTGTTTTCCCGAGTTGGAGGTCTTGCGTAAGGAACACCACGCCAAACCTGCAAAATAGTTGGAAAAAGGATGAACGATGTGGCATCGGTCGATTTGTCTGAACCAGGGTTTGTACACACACACACACACACACACATTCCACCATGTGAATGACCCGTCCTCCAAACTATCGAACGTTACCCAGTAAATTGCAGCCGCAGACCTGCCTGTACTACCTTGTACAGCACAATGTGTTCCGTGTTTTACTAACAATAGGACGGAGGTGGCGTCAGCAGAATTTTCGAAGAATATAGGGCATCATGTGAGTAGGTTTGCAACATGTGGGACGAAGAGTGAAGTTTCTTGCACATATAAAGCGAAATAAATCCCCTTTTTGATGGCAATCGTAAGCCGGCAAGGATGTTCCCTTTTCATTATTTCAGATAATGTCCAAACTCAAACGATGCAAAAACGCGCATGTGATTATTCCAAAAAAGTCAATCTTGACGATCAAAGGGATATGCTAAATATGAATCACTTCGTTAGTGGTTAGCATAGCGAGCGGGGTAACAGCATGTCATAAAAAATGAGTTGAAAGGGTAATTTCCCTACAAACTGATGTACATATCCACTTTATTGAACAAGGTCACCTTGAAAACCGGTAGCTATTTCAATCTTTGTGCATCCGATGACCTATGACGTTCAGTTGATCGGTTTATCAGGAAAGTTTGAAGGCGATCAAGACTGACAAGCAGTATTTCACGGTATCAGATCCAAATTTAGAACGGATGTCTTTAAAGCAATTGGGCGTCGTGCTCATAGTATTAGATCCCTATAGGAATGTTTGAATTAGCCACAACGAAAAAAAGAAAACCCTTGCATACTAACACACAACGTCAAGTCTCACCACACCAAAAAACTGCTCACAGACTAATCTCCCATCTTCTATGATGTCAGCCTTAGCTCTTTGACTTCTTGTTTCATTCACAACTTCCATGCTCTCATGTATTACCATAGACACACACATACACCAACTCAACTTCTCCTCTCCCTAGACCATTCAAAAGCACTTCCAATCGATGGGGTTTCTCTCACAGTTTTGTTTCATGTTCGCTTGTTAATCGACTTAAAAAAGNCCTTCCGAGAGAGTCGAAACGTCGTCAACCGAAAAATTGTTGTTTGTTAGTATTCTCTCGTTGTGGCTGAGCCAAACATTCCTATAAGGATCTAATGGCAAACCGGTAGTTTGATCTCTCAGGAGATGGTAAGAGGGAAAAGAAAATTTATAAAATACAGTCGACTGTAACCTACTTATTAATAAGAAAGCGCATTACGTCGCACTATAAACACTGTAAACTGTGGAGTCCGTCTGGTGCGAATGATGAGCAGGATAAAAGCATCGCAACCAGAGATCTCACACCTGAACGCAGTTTAGGAGGGTGAAGTGATCCTTTTCGGCCCAACTGGTATTGTTAAGACCGTAGACTGACCGTTAGAGTAACCAAATTTGTGCAATCATTCGCTTTTACGTATTGGGCACTAAACGAATGCAGTCATCCTTAGAACTGATACAGTTTAAATAACCTAATACGTTCATAAACGAGGACTTTTGTATAACATAAAATATGATGCTTATTGGTGGAATGTATAATGTGGTTAAAAAGAAGGGGAATATTTGGCACCAGCTGTAGAACAGAAGGAAAGTGACCGCATGATAATGGTGATATGGTATTGTTACACAATTCATAAGGTTCCTCATATCCACTTAATCTTTTCTACAAAATTTGGAACCTGCTTCGTAATCCTCATTTCTCCTTATCTCCGTTGCATAAATGGGGCTGATTTTGACATTTATGATTTACGAATTATTTGTGTGTGCACTATTTGACCACGCGCACCCTTCGATTGGCTGCGCTAAACTTACATGCTCTCTGTCACATTGTGGGAATTTTCACCTTTTCACTCACTATCGTGCGCCGCCGTTACTCACGGGATGGTATTATTTGTTTCAAACGTGCCAGGACATGCTTCGATGGTTCAGCGGTTTGTGCGACTCCATTTTCTCACCGACCAGGCTGGACCAAATAACGCAAGCGTGCAGGATGGCGAGTTGCCCTTAATTGCACCCCTCTGTCAGAGATGACTGTCCCCTCGCTGGTCAGCACCAACACTCAGTCCCTGTTTCCCAAAATGTCGGATTGAACTAGTGTCCTCCGATCAAGAATTCGTACGAGCACGTGAACAGTCTGTGTTCAAGAATCCTGATTGAATAAGGACGTAGATGACTCTCTGGTGTCAAAAGACGGTTTTCAAGTTTACCCGCAGGATCGTGGAACCGGAGGAAAAAGACCGGAGGGGGTGTTGCCACATATGTCAATGTTTCCTGGTGTGGCAATTCCCATGTTGTTTACCAGTACTTCTCAAAAGGTATTGAGTGCCTAACTATACAATGTCGCCCTAGATTTTCCCGTTTTACTCACACAACTTTGACTAACTTGTATATAGCCCCCTCCTGTACACAGTTTGATCGTATGTCATTTTTCGAATCGTTCATACCTTTTATTGCCCCACCTTTAGATGTTAACCTTCACATAATCGTTGGTGACTTCAACCATACTATCCACTTTTATCATTGGGTATGGCAGATCACTGTCACTCTCCTACAAGAGGTAACTCAATACTGGACAGAGTAATTACCAACCACCCAACCCTTTATTCTTTAGCACTATAAGCTCCTATTTCTTCCAGTGACCATTGCTTACTCTTAGTTCGACCTAACGTTTATTCACACAGTGCATACAAATCTTTCTCCCGATCTGAGCACATCAGATTTCGTTTTCGTAACTTCTCACCTACACGTGTTTCTCTCCTGAATGAATCTCTCAAACAGGCCTTCCTATGGTTTTCATCATCTTCTCTGCTCACATGTGTTCCCCTATTGACCCAAACAATCAACGCCATTTTTAATTACTGCTGCCCTGTGTCCAACGGAAAGAAAAACTCTGCCCAACTAAAGTCGTTGCGGCGACCAAAGGAACGTGCGTACAAGTCTCACAATGCTTCAGCTGTTAGGTATTTATCCAGGCTTATCAAAGCTGAAGTAAATAGATTGAATGCATTATTCTTTGATCGAATTCTGAAGACTGGAAACAGCAAATACCTGTGGCAAGGTATAA